CTTTGCTATCCACTCAAGAATTGGTATCTTGCTAAAGAAAGAACCTCCCAAAGACCCTGCACTGGCGGTCACTATCAATAACAGGCACAGGAACAAGAGGATGCACAAAGGGGGATCTTCCGAGCCCCTCGATCACGTCAAATTGCCCATGTTCTCCAAACCAAGGGAACTTCCTCCTGTAAAAGTACCAACAACTCAAAATCCAGAAGGCCAGCACAACTATTAGTTCTGTTTGGTTGAAGTTTGTTCTCTCATTCCTCAGGCTTGCCAAATCTTTGAGCTCAACCACCAAGATTTTTACAGAAAAACAAATTTAAAAAACCTCAACCCAAATTGGGGAAATTAACAAGATACCAGCAGGACTGGGCTATACAAACAGCCAGCGCTCACCAGCACAGCTGTACAATGCTGGTAAACCAGTGGTCACATTCTCATGGCATCATTTTACATCTTGGTAATGAAAAAATATTTCCAAACAATGTTCACATGTGTCATTACATTGGAGTAGGTGGGAATTGAACCCAGGCCTCTTGGCTCAGAGGTAGGGACATTACCACTGTGCCACAAGAACTCATCACTTCATAGCTCTAATGCCTGATAGGTGGGTAGTAACTTGTGTTCTCCTGAACAGGAGGCAGAGTTCAACTCGGTTTCCACTTGCCAGTCAAGTAGGGGCTGGGAGAACAGTATTTTGGTCCAAAAAACAAAAACAAAAAAAACCCCAACACCCCACTACCCACTCCATGCACATACGTCAGGAAGTTTCCATTTCCAGAAACCTAGGTCCTTGATCAAGCCATCCTGCATACCCCCTGGCAATTAGCACCCCACCACAAATTGGGCACCCAGTGCCCACTCTCAGGCCATCAGACCATTGGGCTGCTGGAAATTCTAACACAAGAAGCCATTTGGCCATTAGTGAGCAGTCTTCGATCACATTTCACCGTGCTTCTCTTTTGCCCCTCTAACTCTCCATCTCCCTCTCTACCCAAAATCTCTTATTCAAGAAAATGGTCTCTCCCTCAACTAGTCAACAGAATTGCAAATATATTCATCAACTGTCTATTAGAACATAGAACAGGACAGGCCCTTCGGCTCACAATATTGTGCCAAACTTTTACCCTAAACTTAAAGGTCTATGTAACCTCCACCCCTACCTTATACTCTCATCCATATCCCTATCTAATAGCCGCTTAAATGCCCCTAAATGAGGCTGACTCCACTATCCTCTCTGGCAACGCATTCCACGCCGCTACCACTCTCCGAGTAAAGAACCTACCTCTGATGTCTCCCCTATATCTACCTCCACGCACTTTAAAACTATGCCCCCTCATAATAGCTACCTCCACCCTAGGAAAGTCTCTGGCTGTCTACTCTATCTATACCTCTGATCATTTTGTACACCTCTATCAAGTCACCTCTCATCCTTTGTCGTTCTAAAGAGAAAAGCCCTAGCTCTCAACCTTTCCTCATAAGACCTACCCTCCATTCCAGGCAACATCCTGGTAAATCTCCTCTGCACCTTTTCCAATGCTTCCACATCTTTCCTGTAATGAGGCGACCAGGACTGGACACAATACTCCAGATGTGGCCGAACCAGGCTTTTGTATAGCTAAAGTATTGTCTATTGCAAGCAGCTTTCTCCTATCTTTCCCCCATGGCTTTCAAAATGACCACTCCTTGGCTGTATAGGAGGTCGCTGCTCCTAGCTTGCTGTATCAGAATGCATTTTAAAACAAAGCATTTCAAATAATTGTGTTTCATCTTAATCCTCTCATTATCATTTTCTCTCTGCACAGGAAGTACCCAACCCAAAAAGGGAAAACCAAAAAGATACCAGCAGCTTTTTTTCCCCCCCGCCCCCAAAAAAAAAAACAAGAAAACACCCAGCCAGAGAAACAACTCCAGCTAACTTCAAAATAAGGTTGAATTCTAATGAAGGACGGGCTTAATGATATCACAAAATGGATTATGGTACAACAGCAGACAGGAAACCCCTCTTCCTAAAATGGTCAGTTCACCTCATAGTAGGAACAAGTGGATTCCCTTATGAGGGAAGGCTAGACAGGCTGGGCCTGTATCTTCTGGAGTTTAGAAGAGTCAGAAGTGATTTAATTGAAACATATAAAATCC